GGGCTGGCTATGATTTTCTTGCCAACCATGCGAGAGCGAAGAAGGAACGTGTCAGTGCTGCCATGATCCATCGGTCCTGGGAAAGGGGCGAGCGGTTGTTGGCTCTGCGGCACTTCCCGGTGCAAAACGCTTTCACCAAGTCCGCGGACCTGAAGCTGAGGGCCCAAGGGCATGCGGCGCTCGACGGCTTCCAGGCCGCGATCGCCCATGCGCGGCGGGCACAGCGTCATCGCAGTCGCGTTCTACGCCCCCCCCCCAAGCGTGCAGCTCGGAGGAGGCAGTGCCAGTCGCTACCAGAAGTTGGGCGCAGTGCTCAACTCGTTTCAGCTGCCGCGCATCGCCATCGGTGACTGGAACATCAAGTTGGATATCATGCGTCGTTCCCGTTTCTTTGGTCGCCTGCTCGGCTAGCCGCGCTTGCTGGAGGCGGAGAAGCTGCCCGTCGCCTGCGAGTCTGGCGAGGTGGGCTCCATCGTCGACTACGTCATCTGCCCCCGCTCGGCCAAAGGCTACATTCAGTCCGTCACGGGAGTACCGTCGGCGTGGAAGCCCCACGCGGGGCTGCTGGTGTCGCTGCGGGCCTCGGGCGAGCAGTTGCTCGCGCGTCTCCTGGAGGTGCTAAGGCCGCTGCCCCAGGTTGGGCGGCTTCGAGCCGCTCCGCAGCCAGGCTCGAAGTCCAGTCGCGCTCGCGAGGGAAAGGCGGGGGAAAAAAACAGGCCCAGGCCTGGATGAAGGAAGCCCCGAGGCGTTGTTTCGAGCATTACTTCGGCGACACGCTGAAGGATCTTGAAAATAACGAGGAGGACGGATGCAGCGTCGCGAGCTCCCAGGATCGACGAGGATCCAAGTCAGGACGCCTGGAGTTTCTTGGAGCCCGAACCTGGTCTGGCCCCGTTCGAGGACGAAGGGGACTCGCGGGCCCACGAGACGGAGTTCGCTAGCATTGGCGGTCGCCCCTCTGAGCCCACTGAGCCCAGCGTGTCTGCCCCTTCCGAACCCCATTTTCAATGTTCGGGGAAGGCCGCGCGTTCGGCCAAGTCCGGCGATTCGAGCATTCCGGGGAAGGTCGACCCTCTGACGAGCCAAGAGCGCAGCTCTTGCGTCCTCTCGGGCGGGACCTTTGCCTCCGACAAGGGTCCCCATTTAACCTTCCGACGCCCAATGATCTTAATGCCCAGCCCCCACCCCCCGCTTCGGCATGCCAAGTCGGCTCCCAGGGTGACGGCAGTGATCCGCCACCGGTTGATTCTCGCGTGTCTGATGAGGCTTGGACTCGGAGCAGAGCCAAGGTAAAGCACGCGCCTGCTAGCCTGTGCTCTCCCCACCCCTGGGTCCTCGCCTCCGTAGCCGCTCGGCTTATGAACCAGGGTTCAGCTCGAGCAGCCATTTCCCTGCATGCGTCTGGGGTGCGATCTGTAGTAATCTCACTGCATGAGCACCACGATCGCCAAGACCTATCTAAGGTCAGTCGTAGTGCTGGGCCCGATTTCAAAGAGAGCGCCGTGTATCATCACGCCCGGCGTCGCGCGGCTGCCCTGCGCGACCTGGTTGCAGGCTGGCCCGCGCGCTTCTTCGCAGCCTGGGGCGGCGTTCTCAGCGTCAGAACGGGAGCAAGCAGAGAGAGCGTCTTATCACGTCAATTGGCGAGTTGGCCTCAGGGCGCCCAGACAGGCGCATGCGGGGCCACGAGTTCGACCGCAATTGCGGGGCGATCCTTCGCGGCGGCGATGGCAAAGTTCCTTCAGAAGGATCCGCGTGGTAGAAGAAAAAACAAAAATATCGAAGCGTCTGCTGACAGCGCAGGGGGGGTAGCCAGCAGGTGCCAGCGACGCGCGCGCGCGGCCTCCCTCCGTGAGTTCGGCGACTGGCTGGAGACGGCCCCTGCCCTGGGAAAGCTCCGCAAAGGCATCAAAAACAATCCGTTTGTGCCGTTTGAGGTTGAGCCGGACGACGCCGCGCTCGTTCACCCCAAGGACGCGATCGACCGCGAGGCGGGCAAGTGGCGCAAGTTGCGGAGCCCTACCCGCGATGTCATTGATGAAGTACGAGAATGTTCTCGGCAGGCCAAAAAGCGAGCTCAGCATGAGATCCCCCCTGGGATCACGGGCGAGATGGTCAGAGCAGCTGCCCGTCGCATGCGCCCTCGCTCTGGGATGCGAGCTGATCAAATGTCGCCTCTTGACTTCGAGAGGTCACCGCCAGCTGCCTTACATGAGCTTGCTCAAGTGTACATGGTATGCGAGGGGCAAGTTGCGCGGCCCCACCAGGTCCTGGCGTCGCTGGGCAGGCTGCCCCCGAATACAGGAGGCGGCGATGTTCGCCAGGATCTGGCCGCTCATCCGAGAACCCATCGCGGGCGACTGGGGCGAGGCGACGGCGGCCCGCTGGGGCGCTGCGGCGCAGGGCAACGCGGCTCTAAGAGAAGCGTTCACAAGGACACTTCAGGAGAAGATCGGGCAGGTCTTGCACGTCCGATCGGGCCATGGGCCATTAGACATTGAAGCACTTTACGGTAGTATTCGTTGGTAGGTGCTTTTGCCGAATGGGTTGAAGTTGAGATTCCCAGCTGCAGCGAGGTGCTTGGGGGTGCTCCGGCGCATGTCAGTGCGCACGTTGGGCCAACGAGGTGCGTGGACCATGCCTCTCATTCCAACTCAGTCAATTGTGCAAGGCCTTCGTTATGGCACGCGTTCACGCGTTTCGCACGCATTGTCGCGGCGCATATGCGCGGCCCATCCGAAGGCGGGCCACAGGACACGGGTGGGAAAGATGTTACAGCGTGGCGTTGGATCCAAAGTTTCAGTGGTGAGTGATATTATTCACTGTCTGTTGGACACGCGCGTCGAGGTCTTGCTCGATTGCATGCGCGCGTTGCCCAGAAGAGTGCTGCTGCGATGTGTTCGGCGTTCAAGGACGCAGTTAAGGCGCGGAAGACATTGAGACAAGCAAGTTCCGCGGTCAAGGAACAGAGGACAGCAGCATACCCGGGCGCCGACCTGGGCAACGGTAGCGCACGCACGCGGCCCCCTCGGAGGGCGCGCTTCCAGAAGTCCAGCACGATGCACGACAAGATTCAGAGGTGCCAGGCGACAGGGCGGGTGCCACGTCACCTCCAAGCTGGAGAGGCTCGGGGCGCAGGCGGCTGGATCCTGCGCTTATCAGATCCACGGGGTCTTCGGCACGCACCTCGCTACCTATCGGCGCAGGTGGTTGGGAGCAGCAGTTGGGTCGACGGCCAGGGGCCCGGGCCGGTGCCTCACAACGCTCATCGGCTTGAAGACACCTGCAGATCCTGCGCTGATGCCCGAAGAGTGCGCGCGGCTGTGGTTCCGCATGTGGCAGCAGCAACCGTCGCCGAGGGCGGGCGCGCATGCGGCGTGGGACACGGTGGTAACTCACCTGCGATAGGTCGAGCCTAGCAATCGCTCACGCCACATTCGCGGACCGCTGTCGGCGATGGTGGCGCTCTTGCTGGACAGTGGCTGGGACCCGCAGTCGGCCATCTGCTGGGCCATGCCGCCCACGGAGTCGGGCGAGATCATCGAGTGGCAGTTTCCTAACACGGCGTGGACGGGCTTCGTGGGCGTCGACGCGCCGACTGGCTTGGTGAAGGTTTACGGAGCTCTATTTCGGCGAGATTGTGGCGGAAGCCCAGCGAGCACTACTGCGGCCTGGGTGCGGAGAATGGCGTTGACATGACGTCGCTGCGCAAGCTCTACCAGCAGTTCACCAGCATGCCGCAGGGCAATCGCAAGGCGGAGGTGCTCAGCCTAGTGGTCACGGGTGGCAGCTGGCCGACAGATCGGCGAGTTGACGCTGCAGGGGCCAAGGCGTTGGGGTTGTCGCGCTTTTGCCCGAGGTGCGGGGAGGAGGCCGAGACCATGTTCCATTGGGGCTGGAGCTGCTCCAAGAACGTGGGGGACGCCAGCGTACGATTGCTCGCAGGATTTGCTCCCGCAGGCGTACAACAGGCACGACAGCGAGGAGTGCTATTGGCTGGGGGGGGGACTGCTGCCAGCCAGGCGGACTGAGGTCAGTCCGCCGCAGGAGCACGAGGAATGGCATGTGTCGGACGTCGCGGCGAGCAGTCTCGAGGGCCTCTCGTTTGGGAGCGGCACCGAGCAGACGCCACTGTGGTTCTTCGCCGACGCCAGTGGCGGCGCCGACATGTCCGACAACCGGTTCAGGCGCGTCGGCCTGGCGATCATCAGCGCGAGCAGCTTCGACCCCGTGGCCCTTGACGGGTCGGTGTCGGGAGGCTTTCCTGGGGCGCAGCAGAGCGTCCCCAGGGAAGAGCTGTTCGCGCTACTCGTCGCCATCAGGATGTCCAGTGGGTGCGCGTACTTTGTCACAAACAATAGTGGTGTTGCCGACGGTTGGTATGCACGGAGATATGCCTCACCCAGTGGAGAAGACGCCGACGTGCGGCATAGTATCAGAGTTGCTATGGCAGGGCGCAGTCAGACGGACTTTGAGTCGTTTTGTTTGTGTACTCGCACCTTTCCCCGCAGCAGATGGTTCAAGGAGTTGCGCCGTGGCAGCTGGTGGCCGGCAGCGCGGCAGTCGACGAGCTGGCAGCAGGTGCAGCACGCCGTGTCAGACGTCCTAGAGGCATCGTGTCCACAGAGTAGAAAAGAAGTGTATCAGATACGATCGAGATTGCCCTGAGCTCCCCCTGATGCTCTGGATGCGGAAGGCGAACTGGTGCAACAAAAACGGGCCGTTGAGGAAAAATGAGGTGGCGTGTGAGCCACCGCCGCCTCCTGCCCCGTCAGTGTGCAGGCAAGTTGCGACCAGTCACTCTCTCGATGATTCTGGCAAGCGCTGTGAGATTTTCCGTAGTTACCCCTCGCAGGCCTGCAAAGCCGAATGGATTGTACCGAGTGTTTTAGACCCGCTCCAGTCGATGGTAGATTCTCTGCGTTGCCGTCAGGGGTTGAACTACTACATGTAGAGGGGGGGGGCTGGGTACCCAGTAGCCATAGAATGCGTCTGCATCAATCCCTGGGCCTCTGGTTTTGCTCACAGTTCGGGCATTATGCCAGTAGTCCCATCAGGTGCCTGAGTCAGGAATGTCTCAGGCGAACGAATGCGAATCGAGCTGAGTATTTACATCGGATCGGAACCGATCGATGGCCGAAGGCTTTCAGTAAGGCCGAGAAGCTCCCTCGTAAGCGCTCGTAGGTTCGATTCAACTCGCATCGCGACTGTTCTCACTCACTCACTCACTCACTCACTCACTCACTCACTCACTCACTCACTCACTCACTCACTCGTCCTCCTCCTCCGCCTCATCCTGCTCTTTCATCACCCCCATCCTCATCCTCCTCCTCCTCCTCCTCCTCCTCCTCCTCCTCCTCTTCCTCCTCCTCCTCCTCCTCCTCCTCCTCCTCCTCTTTGTCCTTATCCTCCTTCTTCTTCTCCTCTTCCGCCTCCTCCTCCTCCCCCTCCCCCTCATTTTCCTCCTCCTCCTCCTCCCCTCCTCATCCTCCTCCTCCTCCTCCTCCCCTCCTCCTCCTCCTCCTCCTCCTCCTCCTCCTCCTCCTCCTCCTCCTCCCCCTCCTCCTCCTCCTCCTCCTATGTGTCACTGGACTCTTCAATCGACGGCGAGCGTGGCAACCAGGGCGAGCGCCCAGCCCCCAGCCGCACTCTCGGCGAGCACCTGCAGCAGCCCCCACCTGCGGGCGCCCGTGGCCGACCAAGTCGTTCGGGTTGCCCGCCGCTCCCCTCGTCTCCACCGCCTTTCCGCCTCCCCCCTGCCTCCTAACTGTTCCCTTTTCCGCATCGCCAAAGCCACCTCCTCCTCCTGCTCAGCATCATCATCAGCAGCAGCAGCATCATCATCAGCAGCATCATCATCACCATCATCAGCATCATCGTCAACAACAACATCATCATCATCATCATCATCATCATCAGCATCATCATCATCCTCATCATTATCATCATCATCATCATCACCACCACCATCATCATCATCATCGTCATCATCATCATCAGCATCATCGTCATCATCATCATCAGCATCATCATCAGCAGCATCATCATCATCAGCAGCAGCATCATCAGCATCATCATCATCATATTATCATCATCACCATCATCATCACCATCATCAACATCATCAGCATCATCATCATCATCTTCATCATCATCATCATCAGCAGCATCATCATCAGCAGCATCATCATCATAATCACCATCAGCAGCATCAGCATCAGCAGCAGCATCAGCAGCAGCAGCATCATCACCATCATCCCGCCTCTCCGTCCTCCTCATCCTGTTCATCCCGGTATGATGTTCCTCTATCGGTCGGTCGGTCGAAAGGCGGGTAAGACGAAGCCTAGCCGCCGAGTAGGGAAGAGGATGGCAGGAAGAGGAAAAAGCGGCAGCAGCTGCCAGCGCTCGCGCTCGGGCCTTTCCTGCCTGCACCACCAGTCGGCACAGGTGCTATGCAGCGGAGGTGCTCCACCACAGGACTCACAACAATCTGGGTACTGTCTATGGCACGGCCATAGACAAGGATGTAATTCAAACCTGGAACACATGAGAAAACCTCCCCCTAGGCAACATCATATTACTGTGCAGAGGCGAGCTACTGCAACTTGGTAGAGCGCCCCCTATTCTTACTGAATGATAACGCACACGGGCGTTACCTTGCAGCAGACCTTCATCATGGAACCCTTCACCTGAAGATGTTTAAACGTCGCGAGTTCGGTCAGTCAGAAGGGTAAATGCGAGAGGTACGGCAACGCAAGCACAGCCGCAAAGGCGATTCCTTCACGCACCCCGGGTCGTCACACGGTTACAATGTAGCACGCATTCCATCGCGACGCCCCAAACATAGAAAGGGTCCCATGGGGAAAAAATCCTGATCCCCACCCGTATTCCCCACCCTCGTTGAAGACACTGATACCCGGCTGTCTGCACGAGACCTGACCAGAGCTCCTGGCCCACTCCAAAGAGGCAACGCTGCCCCCCTGGGTACGGAGAGCCAGGAGGCCGCAGCGCAAAGCGCAACATATATAGCACGGGAGTCAACGCACATTGCTTCGGCCGCGTCGCTGAGCGCTGGCAGTGGGGCGACCGACTTCTCGACGGGCCCCGCTGCTCCTTAGATATTCTCGCGATGACCTCACTGACAATCGCCCTTTGGTTTCCAAACATAGCGCCGAGGATTTTGCGCCCCTGGGCAATGGGAAAATCGACGTTCCAACCCGCCGAGGCAACCTCGGGCAGGGCACCCCCCGGAAAGCTCGCAGGAATATTCCTCGCCCCTTTTCCCCCCCAGACCACGAGCAACGTGGACTTAGGTACATTTGGGGGACGCCCATGCGTGCACGCCGCCCCACTGTTCGCGACAGCCACCTCGAGAACAGTCTCGTAGGCCTTGGGGGGCGCAAGCCAGCGAAGACCGCTGTCAGTTCGTCCGCGAAAGACAAGTCGCACTGCGCTGTTTCCAAGTCCCGCTGGCTGGCAAGCTCCGCCGGTTGGTCGCGGCCGGGCCCGCCGCGGATGACCGAGGGAAGAGAGGCAGCGCGGGTAGAAGAACAAATGGGTTCGAAAACACCGGCCGCACAAATGGAGGCTGGCCTCGCGTCGCGCGGCGGGTTCGACAAAGCGACTGGCCCCGCGGACCCTCCAAAACCACGCCTTTGGGTCTCTGAAGCAAATGCCGGAATGCGAGGTGCATGTCCGAATCCGTTGCTAAGGCCAACTGGCGTTTCGCGACCTCCATCGGCGAGGAGGGCGGGCGCGGGCCATCCACGACGTCAGCTAGTCTGCCGTCGCCCCCAGGCAAACCTAGGGCCATTTCTTCGATGGTAGCGTCGAAGGCGTTCCCATGGTCCAAACTTGCCATGATGGCAGAGACCTTGCTGCGACTGGCGGCAGAAAGAAAAATTCGGACACCGCGGATGACCGCGTCAGCGACCCTGCCCGGCCCCCCCCCCCGCCGCTCCAAGATAAGGCTAGCCCCGAAAAAGCCCCATGCTAGCCCCGAAGAACTGCTCCCTGCCAGCAAGACTGCAACGCGTCTTAGTTTGCCACCTCGGGCCCTCGCCCCGAGACGGGCATCTCGCAAAACAAGGGGCATACACACATATATATATATATGTATATATAGGTTCAGAGAGAGAGGGGGGGGAGAAGAACAACAAAAACAAAAAACGGACGAAGGACCCAACCATATGCAGCCGCGAGTACCGCGAAGGATATGAGACGGAGGAGGGGGGCCCACGGTGGCCCAAGCCCCGTGCGCAGCCGCGGGGGCGGCGCCGCCATGCGGACCCTGCCACTGGAGCCTCCGGTGGAGCTCCCTATGGGGCCACGAACCGTGTGAGGGGTGCGCCAACATGGGGCGGCGCCGCCATGCGGACCCTGCCACTGGGGCCTTCGGTGGAGCTCTCTACGAACCGTGTAAAGCGTGTGCCAAAATGGGGCGGCGCCGCCATGTGGACCCTGCCACTGGGGCCTTCGGTGGAGCTCCCTTATGGGGCCACGAACCGTGTGAGGTGTGTGCCGAAATGCGTGCGGCGCCGCCATGTGGACCCTGCCACTAGGGCCTTCGGTGGAGCTCTGTATGGGGCCACGAACCGTGCGAGGGATGCACCACAATGGGGTGGAACCGCCATGTGGACCCTGCCACTGGGGCCTTCGGTGGAGCTCCCTATGGGGCCACGAACCGTGTGAGGGGTGCGCCGAAATGGGGCGGCGCCGCCTTGTGGACCCTGCCACTGGGGCCTTCGGTGGAGCTCCCTATGGGACCACAAAACGTGTGAGGGGTGCGCCAAAATGAGGCGGAACCGACATGTGGACCCTGGTGGAGCTCCCTCTGGGGCCACGAACCGTGCGAGGGGTGCGCCAAAATGGGGCGGCGCCGCCTTGTGGACCCTGCCACTGGGGCCTTCGGTGGAGCTCCCTATGGGGCCACGAAACGTGTGAGGGGTGCGCCGAAATGGGGCGGCGCCGCCTTGTGGACCCTGCCACTGGGGCCTTCGGTGGAGCTCCCTATGGGACCACGAAACGTGTGAAGGGTGCGCCAAAGTGGGGCGGAACCGACATGCGGACCCTGCCACTGGAACCTCTGGTCGAGCTCCCTATGGGGCCACGAACCGTGAGAGGGGTGCGCCAACATGGGGCGGCGCCGCCTTGTGGACCCTGCCACTGGTGCCTTCGGTGGAGCTCCCTATGGGACCACGAAACGTGTGAGGGGTGCGCCAAAATGGTGCGGAACCGACATGTGGACCCTGCCACTGGACCCTTCGGTGGAGCTCCCTATCGGGCCACGAACCGTGTGAGGGGTGCGCCGAAATGGGGCGGCGCCGCCTTGTGGACCCTGCCACTGGAGCCTTCGGTGGAGCTCCCTATCGGGCCACGAACCGTGTGAGGGGTGCGCCAAATGGGGCGGCGCCGCCTTGTGGACCCTGCCACTGGGGCCTTCGGTGGAACTCCCTATAGGGCCACGAAACGTGTGACGGGTGCGCCAAAATGGGGCGGTGCCGCCTTGTGGACCCTGCCGCTGGGGCCTTCGGTGGAGCTCCCTATGGGACCACGAAACGTGTGAGGGGTGCGCCAAAATGGTGCGGAACCGACATGTGGACCCTGGTGGAGCTCCCTATGGGGCCACGAACCGTGCGAGGGGTGCGCCAAAATGGGGCGGCGCCGCCTTGTGGACCCTGCCACTGGGGCCTTCGGTGGAGCTCCCTATGGGGCCACGAAACGTGTGAGGGGTGCGCCGAAATGGGGCGGCGCCGCCTTGTGGACCCTGCCACTGGGGCCTTCGGTGGAGCTCCCTATGGGACCACGAAACGTGTGAAGGGTACGCCAAAGTGGGGCGGAACCGACATGCGGACCCTGCCACTGGAGCCTCTCGAACCCCTATCTGCGAGGGGTGCGCCAACATGGGGCGGCGCCGCCTTGTGGACCCTGCCACTGGTGCCTTCGGTGGAGCTCCCTATGGGACCACGAAACGTGTGAGGGGTGCGCCAAAATTGTGCGGAACTGACATGTGGACCCTGCCACTGGACCCTTCGGTGGAGCTCCCTATCGGGCCACGAACCGTGTGAGGGGTGCGCCGAAATGGGGCGGCGCCGCCTTGTGGACCCTGCCACTGGAGCCTTCGGTGGAGCTCCCTCTGGGGCCACGAACCGTGCGAGGGGTGCGCCAAAATGGGGCGGCGCCGCCTTGTGGACCCTGCCACTGGGGCCTTCGGTGGAGCTCCTTATAGGGCCACGAAACGTGTGAGCGGTGCGCCAAAATGGGGCGGTGCCGCCTTGTGGACCCTGCCACTGGGGCCTTCGGTGGAGCGCCCTATGGGACCACGAAACGTGTGAGGGGTGCGCCAAAATGGGGCGGCGCCGCCATGTGGACCCTGCCACTGGGGCCTTCGGTGGAGCTCCCTATGGGGCCACGAACCGTGTGAGGGGTGCGCCAACATGGGGCGGCGCCGCCTTGTGGACCCTGCCACTGGGGCCTTCGGTGGAGCTCCCTATGGGACCACGAAACGTGTGAGGGGTGCGCCAAAATGGTGCGGAACCGACATGTGGACCCTGCCACTGGGGCCTTCGGTGGAGCTCCCTCTGGGGCCACGAACCGTGCGAGGGGTACGTCAAAATGGGGCGGCGCCACCTTGTGGACCCTGCCACTGGGGCCTTCAGTGGAGCTCCCATGGGGCCAC